AGGGCGGCGTTGAGACCGGTGGCGAAAATATGAATCGAACCATTCGGCTTCTTAACCACAACAATGGGGGCAGCACAGGCCAAATAGGGCACGGGTGTCAGGACTCCAAATTCCTCCAGGCGCTTTAGTTCAGCATCGAAATAGGCAAGGCTGCATGGGTAACTGGGCTCTTTGGGCGGATGACTGGTTGACTCTCAGGACAGAAATCAAGCACAGCTTGCATGTGTGTACAACGAATAAGGCGGTATTGGAATACTGGAGCAAACCGCTGGAGAATGTCCTTAGCGGGGTGTGCAGTTATCAGTATCAGCTAATTTGAGGGATATAAAGGTAGATTGCTTTTGAGTACCCTATTTGTACATGTGTGTCGTGGTAGCAGAAAAATTGTATCCCAGTTTTTGGTGAGGCTAATTGTCCTGAGCCATGAGGGGGCACATAGTTGTTTTAAAAAAGTTAGCAGACAGTGAAAAAACTCCTTAGCAGGAAAACGGTCGCTCTTATGGGTGGGAGGGAGGTGTGGGGTTTAGGAAAAAAAAGTCCACTTTTGAGGGAGGGTCCAACGGGGGGCATTACAAAGGTCACCAGGATCATCACCGAGTGCGAAATATGTGGCCTGATAGTTCCTTGCTGGTTGCCGAGTCCGCCGACAAGGTTGGAAAAACAGAAACATTCGTCCAGATCGTCGAAAATCCGCTGCGGATCGAACCAAGGGTGAGTATTTAGGCCGGCAGGTTCGACTGAATCGGTCGCTGATGAGGTCATCACGGTGCAGCAGGAATCTGCACTTGACTGCAAACAAGGCGGAGCGGCAAATCAACCAAGCCAAGTTGTTCAATCCAGTCGAGATCAAGTAGATACAGATTAGACTTGGTCATATAGCAGGTAGCAGTAACGTTAGTGTCGCGAAAGGAAACACAACATTGTAGTTGCCCCATTGACTGGACAAGGCCACCGCACGCACTTGTGGTGGACTGAGAAGTCTATTGCATTTTGGGGTCGCCAAGTGACTGCCAGAATGTCTCAGAGATTATTGTGATATCTGACGCAGGGTTCCGTTCTAGGCGAACGGTGTGACCTTTGGGAAATAGATTAACAAACTTCCGGCGATCAGCTATGTTAACCTGGAATGAGGCCAAGAGACTGAGAGAATTTCCGAAAAATCAGTGTTTTTGACTTACTTTTTGAGTTTCAGTGGCGCTTTGGGTTGGAATTGGCGGGAGCGGGCTTAACTACGGAGGTTGAGAATTGGCAGAAGCTATCGCGGTGCCCCACCTAGATACATTTCTGGCAGCGATGTTGCCTAGACCTGCAATCCCGATGGGAATGCTACGTGCCGCAGAGCTGACAAGGAAAGGGCAGGGATTTCGCCTTGGGGGCTTGCTTGGGCGCGAAATCGGAGGTAACTTAGCTGCTGCATCTGCATTGACTGAGCCAGTAGTAGAGGCACATTGGACCATGGCCAAATCATGCTTAAGATTTATCATTGTTTGACATTCGGCAGCCAGTTCACGGAGGGTAACTGAGCTGCTCTGTTGCATGTGGGGTAGAATACGATCCCGGATTTCGGCATCCCTGAGATACTGGAGGCCGCAGACGAATAGGAGGCATTTGAACTGGTCTTCTGTGAGAGATCTGAGTTGAAAACGCCCACACTCGCAATTCGCACTGCAGGCATAGTTGATGAAATCGTCGGATTCACGTTTGTACAGCTGAAGGCACTGGAATCTGCCGACCGATACCTAAGACCCATAAGAGAGAAGAGAGAAAACCAGTCGGCCAGAGAGACAGAGAGAATGTGTACTCAGACAAAGCCCTTTACAGTAAGTCCTTAACAGAGAAAGGCTGCGTGCATTTAAGGGAAACGCGAAAGACAGAGCCGAGACAATGGGCCAATCCGCTATGGGAAAAAAATCGATAGTCGGCGCGCTCTCATAACAGCGGCGTCAGTTGCAGTCGCGGGCCTTTATGTAGATGAGTAATCGCGGGAATGGGCGCATTCCCAACAAGAGTTGACTTATGTCGGTCCCGGCGTCCACGAGAAAATGACGACACGAACTCCTGCCATAAATGTAGAGTAAGCGAGGTGAAGAGCATGGACCGGCCAAGTTCTTTGCCTTTACTCCTCGGCAGGGAAGTTTTTCAGAGGAATTCGTCTCGTATATACACGTAGAGTTGCATTGGTGGGTTTGAGAACCGTAATTGTGATGGTAACAACAGAAACCATCAGTTTTAGTTTGACAGGGTTGTCCAGTAATCAAAGGATTACTTTTTTTTATGTACGACTGGTTCGAAGCTGGGCAATTTCAAGGGTGAGGGCACCAAGGCGTTTCGCGACATTTTCAATAGAAGGCGGTGCGCTGTCATGACTGGTCCCTACCACGGGGCATCTGAACGCATGAATGTCGGCATCGGCGCCCATGACGTGTTCGGTCGAAAGGTCGCAAACTGGGATTGTATGAGGTCGCTTTGACGCCAGATTAAATGCAGCACTCTTGCTTGTTAAAAAGATGACGCGAAATGAATTTTGTCAATCGAAAGGCCTGACAAAATAATCTAGCTTAATGAAAATACAAGCGCAATGCAAAAAATCGTGGTTCACCAATGTGGGATACGATGTAGTCTATCCAGGAACCTAAGATAAGAGTATTCCAACTGGTACGAACTATTAAATAAGAACAAAGTCGTTTGTAGATAAAAGCACGTGCTTATTCAACGTCTTATTTAAGCTTGTGTCAAGATACTCTCAAAGCATATTTGACTGCGTAAAACAAAAAGCTATTTAATGCCACTACAAGCCTGCGAGCGACAAGACACGCTGTTTATTGGAAGCAGCACCTACGTGGAAAATTTGATTTATTAGGTTCCTATAAGGATGCACTCATTTTACCTGCAGGTTAATGTGAGTTCGTTAATAAGCGGATTCCACAGCGGTGGCTGCATTTACGCCAGGATCATCACAGGAGGAATCTTAAAAATCATTTGAACTGTTGTGAAAAATGGAAAGATAGAGCTCATAGTGAAGTAAATAGGATTGAGTGCATCGACCCAATAATGCGAAAACGAATGTGACACTGCAAGTATGTAATTGAACGTAACTGCAACGAGCAGAAAATAAAGCTTTGCCCACTCGAGGAATGACAAGTAGGTGGCGCTTAGTGACAGGATAACCGTTGGAGTTGAGAGCAAACGGGAGAGAAAAAGGTTGCTGGCGTCCAGGGCGTCAGTTACCAGTTTTGCGGGTAACGAAGGTCGATGTGAAGAGCCCATGCTACTTTCAAAACTTGATGGGTCTATCTTGATCGCCATGTTACTTACACTTTCAATAAAACTAACATCCGAAATACGGGAAAGTAAGAGCCAAGGAAGACTCTGCTATGGACTAGATACGTCCTACTGCAAGCGAAATGCGTAGCGGTTTTCAAGTATACT